CAAAAATTAAGCCGTGCCACTGGCAAAGGAAATATTCAGCAAACTCACCGAGCCTTGGACGATAGTAAATTATTGGCTGATTTATTTACCAAATTATTAAAATCGCTTCAAGAACAAAGAATTAAGCAATGAAAAGAAGTTGAAAAGTTAATTAACCACCAGTATTTCCCCAACCGAGGTCATAAAGTCAAAGTTTTAGCAAAAAACCAGGCAGGATTAAACAACTTATATCAATTAATTACTCTTTCTCATACTGATAACCTCTTTAAAATGCCTTGCGTTTTTCGTTCAGATTTGGAAAAACATCGGCAAAATTTGCTGATTGGAGCAGCCGGGAACCGAGAAGGAGAAATTTTTTCTCTTTTTAGTGCTTTTAATTCTGAATCTGACCGACAAAAAGCCATAAAATTTTATGATTATATTGAAATAAACAGCCCTAGTAGTTCTCGGCATTTATGGTTAAACGGACGAATGGGAGAAGTAGAATTAAAAAAAATGATTATAAATATAATTCAAACCGCTAATGCCTTAAATATTCCAGCTATTGCCAATCACAATGTTCATTATTATCAAGCAGAGCAAAAAATTATCAAACAAATCGTTGTTGCCAACGAAGGAATGAATGGTGCCAAGCATCCTTTATACAATGAAGCCACCTTAGACGGAAAAGAAGATAGATTTGCTAATTTACCAGACCAACATCTCCGGAAAAAAGAAGAAATAATTGAAGACTGAAAATTTTTGCAAGATGCTGATTTAATGGAAGAGGTGATTTTCACTAACCCGCAAAAAATTGCTGATCAAACAAAAGAAATCATTATTTTTGATGGACAAATTCAGTATCCTGATTTTTCGGAGAATGAAGGAAAACTAGTCCAAGTATACCAAAAAAAAGCCCAAGAGTTGTTTGGCGACAATTTACCCCTCATCGTGAAACAAAGAATAGACAAAGAATGAAAGATTATCCGAGAGAATTACCTTTCAATTTATTGACTAGCTTACCAAATTGTTCAAAAAACTCACCAAGATGGGTTTATTGTTGGCTCTCGTGGCTCAGTAGGCTCTTCTTTTCTTGCTTATTTGTTAAATATTACTGACCTTAACCCCTTGCCTCCTTATTACTTTTGCCAAAACTGTAAATATTTTGAATCTTATCGAACCGACCAAAAAGTATTTTCTTGCTACGATATTAACGAATTTCCAAATTGTCCGCAATGTAAAAAACAATTAACTTTAGAGGGGCATAATTTACCTTTTGAGACTTTCTTCGGCTGAAAGGGAGAAAAAACCCCTGATATTGACTTAAATTTTTCCGGAGAATACCAAAAAACTGCTCATGATTATGTTCGTGAACTTCTTGGAGAAGAACATGTTTATCGAATTGGCACTATTAATAAATTATCTCAACAAACCGCAGAAATATTTTTACGAGAATATAAAAAACTAAAAAAAGAACTTAACCCTAAATTTAACCTTTATAATAATGGTGATGACGAAAAATTATTAGAACAATTAAAAGGAATTAAGCGTACTACCGGGCAGCATCCTGGCGGGCTGCTAATTATTCCTCAAAACATTGATATTCACAATTATACTCCTTTGAATTATCCGGCTGATAATAAACAGGCTGAATGAAAAACTACCCATTTTGAATATAGTTTTTTAGCGAACATTTTTCTCAAATTGGATATCTTGGGGCATGATGAACCCACTGTTTTACAAAAATTATATGAATTAACCAAAGTAAATCCTGATAACATTTCTTTCCATGATGAAAAAATTATGGAAATTTTCACCCAAGCAGATACTTTGGGAATTCCTGAATTCGGCACAGATTTTGTGAAAAGAAATTTTCTGAAATCTCTCAAGCCAACCAAATTTTCCCAGCTGGTTCAGATTTCAGGTTTTTCTCACGGAACCGATGTTTGAACTCAAAATCAGCAAGGTCATTACAAAGAAGGCATGAAATTAGAAGAATTAATTGCTTGTCGAGAAGATATTTGAACCTTCTTATCGTCTTGGGGAGTAGATAACAAAACTGCTTTTCTGGCTAGTGAATACATTCGTAAAGGAAAATGGAATAGTCTAAATAGTGAAATTAAAAAAGCAATTCGAGAAAAAATCGGCTTGGCTGATGAAGATATCAATAATATAACGAAAGATTTAACTGTCAAACAAAACAATTTAATTGCTAAAATCAGTCAAGAACTAGCCGAATTAGAAGAAAATAGTTTAATTGATTTGTTGCGAAAAATAAATGAAAAATTGGAAGAATTAGGAGAAACGGGCAAGTTAACTACATAATGAAATGAAAAAACTCTGGCTAAATTTTTTTA